GTTGGAGGAGAATACTGAAAGTGCCATGGACTGCCAAAGAACCAATAGATCCATTTTGGAAGAAGTGCAACCAGAGTGCTCCTTGAAGGCCAAGATGGCTAAGTCTTTTACTGATGTAACATATCCTGTGTTCAGTTAAATGTACTGATTATGTATTTGGTTTGTAGTACATTTTTTTTAAATTACATTTCTTTCCATTCTGTCCTATTATGAAGTCCATTACTTTCACCTTTTAATTAGTAACGTTCTAATAGAACAACAGTTTGAGACTGCTAATATTCTGCCCTCCCACCCTTTATCAGATTGTTGCTAACATTGGTAGTGAGTGCACACACATACACAGGTATGGCCTTACATACACGTGTCCACATTAGTATATGCTACATATTATTCACATATGTTACAATCCACAGTACCACTTATTTAGACGTCTTAAAGCTGTCCACGCTGCATATGCCGTTGGTTTACTGGGCTAAAATCTCAGAGATCACTTTAATAATTTAGTATAGCATCTTTCTACATCTAAACATTTGAGGTCTTAAAACCCTAGGGGTTTATATCCATGATAGAACTTTTGACTTCTATGGACCCAAAAATAATACCAGAAATTCAAACAGAAAAGTAAAAGAAACAAGTATGAGTTCAATTGTATCAAAATGATATGTTGAACTTGAAATAAGCACAGTTAAAACTCTGCAAAATCCCACTCAGATCTCTGAAGGTTGAATACCAAAGGAACCCTTAAGTGCAGAAGTTACATTCATAACTCTTTGTAAGTTTCAGGGTTATTAATCACAATAGAAGTAAATGAAAACACAGTTTCACATTAAGAGATTTGTGTTCCTGGGGCATCCAGCATATGGAAGCTTCATAGAATATGAGATGATTCCTGTCGGGGACCTGCCCTTAGACTTCCCGAAGGTGGAGTGCGGGAATGGGAATGGTGAGTCCATCAACGTCCTGGGATGATCACTGTCCCGCTGTTCTCAGGGTCGGCGGTTCAAGCCCACCAACCATTCCTAGGAAACCCTATGGATGATTGATATGGGTGCGACCTACTCGGTGGCACATGGAAATGTAAGGTTGTTATGAGTACGAATTCACTGGAACTTGATGAGTTTGGGATTGTAGATAACTGGGGTGTCCACCGTCTTCAGTGGGGAAATCTGGATGTGAATCCTTGTGGGGTCAGCTCTGTGCTGAAGGACTGCCTTTCTGCACTGTCTCTGAGTTGTTAGGGCCTTCCCTGCCCCACCTAGTGCTCCCTGCTTGTGGAGGATCCGTTTGGTCCATGGAAGGAGATAGAATGGCTTATTCAAAACAGGAATGTGATCTGATCATCTCTCTCATTTCTGGTATATTTTCTAATTGTTGTAGACTATACACAGAGAGGGATAGACTGCTGTCGTTCACAGTAAAATTTTGGAGAGTCTATTTCTGAGTGAGCGGAGTTTTTGTGACAACATGTAGTCAGTGATTTAGTGAATGTAGTCAGTGAAGGGAGGAAGCCAGTCGATGTTCTTTGAGCAGATCTCGCGAGAGCACAGAACCTGGTGTTATGTACCTGTGGATTCTAAGGGTCCAAGGAATGGCAGCCTCACCTTTTGTTTTAAGACATCTTGGTATAAGTGCAGCCTTGCTGACTGAGACTGTGTGGGATGTTTTAGGGTCCAGTGATCATTGAAGATGTGGCTGTGGTCTTCACCCACGAAGAGTGGGATTTGCTGGATCCTGCTCAGAGGAAACTCTACAGAGACGTGATGATGGAAACCTTGAGAAACCTGGCTTCAGTCGGTATGAATGACATCTTCCTTTTTCTTTTTTTTTTATTCCTTTAGTGAACAAAAATATTTTACTCATCAGCTGTGCTTGCTTATCTGGAATGAGCAATGGAATCACCCTGTAAAATAAAAGGCATGGTCCCCTTTTATAAAGAGCTCATGTATCCAGGATTCCCCTAATACAAAGCTCTATGCACTAAACTGAGCTTTCATTTCTCTTGTGAATAAAACAAGCCTTGGGCCTCTCTAAGTGCCATCAGCATAGCATTGACTTCAGGGGACACTTTCATGCGCTGAGAGACTTGTCCTGTGGGTGCCTTTCTGAGAGTTTTATTGGGTTTCTGACATGATATTGGGTTTGATGTCATGATTTTGATGTAAATGAAGTCACACCTGTCAATCTTCTGAGATTTTAGAGAACAGAGCACTATCTCGGTGACAAGGAATCTTTCATTGGTCATCAAGTGTTCCTTGCGATGTACATTTCTCCATGAGCCCCATGTTGTTGTGAACTGCCATCGCATCAGTTTCAATGCTTAGGCAACTTGTGTACATTTTCCTAGAGGCAACTGGGGGATTGATCCTATACCACCACACTGGGTCTCCTGAGCTCCATGGTAGCTCTACCCATTTGTTTTCTCAGAGAAGCTAAGGAAAAATCTGAGGAGACTGGAAATAAGAGTCACTGAGGCCCATGTGTCAGGAAACCCGAGGAAATGTAATTTTAGCCCATGAATGAAGGAAATAAATCAGCTTCAAAAAGTTTATTTTGGCTTGCAGACCCAACTTCACAGATACCTGAACTGATTCTGTTGATTTTAATTGTCCTTTTGCACCTGTGGACACGGAGACCCTTTGCCTTTATAACGTTTCATGTGTGGCATGTCTAATTCCTTCTACTTAGCTCTTCTAATGATAGCTGTGTATGTTACTGTCCCTCTCCATCTTGATAGAAGTATTTCCTAGTGTGTTGCATTTTAAGATTTGTCAAAGTGCTGGAATAGCAAAATGGGGCTGAATCTTTTTTACTAGGAACCTCTGTTTCCTCTAATCATTCCCATTTGATTCTAATTATGAACTTTAACCTGAATGATTGGATCAGTGGCTGGAAATATTAATTATGGAGGAAAGTTACCCAGTGAGCATTTAATCATACAATTTCTGAAGAGTAACGCCTGGTTATTATAAATGCATCACAGGTGCAGTCATGGAATCACATGGCTGGAGGGATCACCGTGACAACCAGGGGAGACATTTGAGGTGAGTGTGATTCCAACAACAGAAATTAGTGCTTCACAAAATCTCATGAGGTGTCATAACATCAAAATACACTGAAGTGAGGGGGCTCCAAATAGTTCATGGAGCACTCCATCATCTTTCAATTGCATCATTCTGTGAACAATTATGATTGAGTAATTGCTGGGCAAAGAAAGGTCGCATGCTCATTTCCCAACAATCAGATCTCTTTCCTTTTAAATTGTGAGTCAATTAAGAAACTGTCAGTAGTATGCCATTCAGATGTGGTTATCGGGGACCGAGGACTGCTCAGACCACTGCGTAGGTTTCCCGAAGGAGAGGCGAGGATTAACGAACACAGCTGATTGCTAGTGACAAAGTTTATTTCCAATCTCAGTGTATATATAGGGTGGTTCTGCAAGTCAGTGCTGTTTTGCATAGTTACAAGTCTGTTCTTTACTGTGAGTCAGGCTACCTTGGGAAAGCTACCTTCCCTGCTGTGTTAATAAGCAGACACTGTCTGGTTAGACCCAGCCTTAAAGTTTTGTGAGGCCTGTAAGCCTTTTGGTCCCCAACATGTGGTGGCAGGCTACACAGCTGTAAATGTTTGTTGATCTCCAGAGTCCTACAACATATCCGGGCTGTGATGTAAGACTCTTGGTATCCATGCAGGTGTTTGATGTTGCAGGAGTGTGTAGAGTGACACGTTCATATTGGTGGTTTGCTTACCATCCTTGAATGCAGTACCAGTGATTGTTTCTTCACCAAATCAAATTCTATTAAAACAACAGTTTTGATTGCTAGGCAATGTGGACACTTCTCTCATTTATGCTGGAAATTGCTGAGTCGTTCCAAAGTGTTTTGAATCCCTGAAGCCGACGGATATATGTGTGTTGTGTTTTCCAAGTCAGTTCTGACTTTTAGCAACCCTTTGTTGACTTTCCAAGAAGTAGCTGTTGTTACATGCCTTGAAGTCGTTCCACTTTGTGGTTCAAATCTAGCTTACCACCTAGTGTTAATCCTTCATCAGGACCCATGTATATCTGTAAATGTGTATAATGCTGTCTGTAAAACGTTGGTTTCTTTGAAAATTTACGTTAGAAAGTTTTCGTAAGTATTAGCAAAATGTTTAAAGCATATTTCAGTTGGACACAATGAGCAGGAAGTCTTACACATTGACAGAAATGGTAGTCGTTGTCCTAGATGAATCTTGAGACAACTCAGGGGAAAGACATGCATGTTCACTGTGTTCGGTAATGCTGTCATGTGACAACATTTGTTTCCAACCACATAAATGACTTATTTTTTCTGTCTCCTTGTTGACAGTGGAGTAGTTTGCAGAGGACACCATTGTTTTACATTTACACTACCTGTTTTTAACAGAACTGGTGCAATCGAAAACCTGTGTGAACGTTCTGAAGGCAACCAGTGTGGGGAAACATCCAGCCCGATTCCTGGTCTTTCTGTGCACCAAGTAGATCCCACAGAAGTAAATCCTTCTGAATGCTGTGAGTATGGAGAAGCCTTCCTGGATCATTCCCTAGAGAACAATCATAGTAGAGCTCACACTGGAAGCAGTACATGTCAGTGTCCTTACTGTGGGGAAGACTGCAGGTGTCCTTCTCACCTGACCACGCCTGTGAGAATTCATGATGGGAAAAATTCCCATAAATATAATATATGTGGGAGAGGCTTCCTGTTTATGTTGACCCTCAAGAATCTGCCTCAGAAATCACCAGTATTGAAGGGTATGAATTCAGCAAGTGGATGGAAATTTTCTGTAGTTTCTTACCAGTTAGGACACTTTGGAAGGTCATCAATCCAAATGTAAACAATGTTTTAGAATGCATACTAGTCCTTCATCTCTCATTTTAAACAATAACTCTTATAGAGAGAAGCCTTCTGAATGTAAGAATGCAATTCCTGAGGCTTCCTCCCTCACTCAACATGAAAGTAGTCACAGTGGAGAGATGCCTTATTAATGTACAGAGTGTAGGGAAACTTTTAGAGATTCCTCAGACCTGACTGCACATAGAAGAATCCACAGTGGAGAGAGGCCCTATGAATATCCAGAATGTGTGAAAGCCTCAGGTGAGGCGTCACTCCTCCCTGGACATATAGGAACTCATAGCAGACAGAGGCCTTTTGAATGTAAAGTGTGTGGGAAAGCCTTTAGGGATTCCTCACAGCACAGTGGACCTTTGCAAACTACAGTGGAGATAGGCTCTATGAAAGTAATCAATGTGGGAAAGCCATTAGCAGTGCCTATGGGCTCACAAGACATAAAATAGTCCACTGTGCATACAGGACTTATGAATGTAAGGAGTGTGGGATCACTTTTAGGGATTCATCAGGCCTGACTACACATAGAAGAATACACACCGGAGAGAAGCTTTATGAATGTAAGCAATGTAGGAAAGTCTTCAGACTGTCCTCAAAGGGCAGTAGACTCATGCGGACACACAGTGCAGACAGGCACTATGAATGTAAGGAATGTGGGAATACCTATATCTATGACTCAAACCTCATACAACATAGAAGAATCCACAGTGGGGAGAGGCCCTATGAATGTAAGGAATGTGTAAAAGCCTTTATTTCTTCCATAGCCCTCACTGCACCTATGCAAATTCATAGTGGAGAGAGTCCCTATGAATGTAAGGAATGTGGGAAAACCTTTTGCCAAGCCTCAAACCTCACAACGCATAGACGCATCCACAGTGGAGAGAGGCTCTATGAATGTAAGGAATGTGGGAAATCCTATACTCAATGGTCAGGTCTCAGAATACATAGAAGAATCCACAGTGGAGAGAGGCCCTATGAATGCAAGGATTGTGGGAAATCCTTTTGTCGACCCTCAAACCTCATAACACATAGAAGAATCCACAGTGGAGAGACTCGCTGTGAGTGTAAAGAATGTGGAAAAGCCTTTATTTCTTCCACAGCCCTCACTGCACATATGTGAAGTCATAGTGGAGAGAGGCCCTATGAATGTAAGCAGTGTGGGAAAGCCTTTCTTCAAGCTTCACACCTCACAACACATAGAAGAATCCACAGTGGAGAGAGGCCCTATGAATGTAATCAGTGTGGGAAATCCTTTACTGACCTGTCAAGCCTCATAACACATAGAAGAATCCACAGTGGAGAGAGGCCCTATGAATGTAAGCAGTGTGGGAAAGCGTTTCTCAGAGCATCATCCCTCAGAACACATAGAAGAATCCACAGTGGAGAGAGGTCCTATGAATGTAAGGAGTGTGGGAAAGCCTTTATTGAGTTAGCACACTTCACAAGACATAGAAGAATCCACAGTGGAGAGAGGCCCTATGAATGTAAGCAGTGTGGGAAATCCTTTACTCAAAGGTCAACCCTCACAACACATAGAAGAATCCATAGTGGAGAGAGGTCCTATGAATGTAAGCAGTGTGGGAAATCCTTTACTCAAAGGTCCACCCTCACAACACATAGAAGAATCCACAGTGGAGAGAGGCCCTATGAATGTAAGCAGTGTGGGAAATCCTTTACTCAACAGTCAAGCCTCACAAAACATAGAAGAATCCACAGTGGAGAGAAGCCCTATGAAAGTAAGGAGTGTGGGAAAGCCTTTCTCCAAGCTTCACACCTCACAACACACAGAAGAATCCACAGTAGAGAGAGGCCCTATGAATGTAAGCAGTGTGGGAAAGCCTTTATTGAATTAGGAAACTTCACAAGACATAGAAGAATCCACAGTGGAGAAAGGCCCTATGAATGTAAGCAGTGTGGGAAATCCTTTACTCAAGGGTCAACCCTCACAACACATAGAAGAATCCATAGTGGAGAGAGGCCCTATGA